TCTTTCCTCATTTAAGGACCTTTGAGAACATATTGGGCCCACCCAGATAATCCAAGATAATACATGTGTCCTGAGGTCCTCAACTTAATCACAACTGTGAAATACTTTTGCCATATAAAATAACATAATCACAGCTTCCAGTGATTAGGATACATTTGGAGAGTCATTATTTTGCTTAGCACAGTTTATCTTTTGTACTCCCCAAATTAAAGCTTATCTCCCATGCAAAATACGTTCACTCTATTCTAAGGTACATAAATCACAACCCATTATAGCAGCAACTCAAATTCCTAAATCTCATGAGCACAGAAGTCCCAAATTTTATTATCAACAAACTAATTTAAGTTAGGTGTGAGTATATTGGATTCTGACACAAAATTCCTCTCAATTTGTAGACCTGCGAAACTAAACAACAAGATATTTACTCTCAAAATACAATAGTGAAACTGGCATAGGGGAGTGGCTATAAACATTCCTTCTCAAAGAAGGTGAAAATACAAGAAAAAAATGAGTCATCAATCCCAAACAGTTTTTAAGTCTAGCCAGGCAAACTATACTAATTTTAAATTCTGGAAATGATTTTCTGTGGTTTGTAGTTCCAGCCTCTGCAGTCTGAGTTTGGGGTTTCATCCTCTTCCCTTGAAGACCTACCCTGTGAGTCATCATTTCTTTTTTATGAAGATATCCTGGGTTTGCTGCTGAGTGGTTTTATCAGCCCATTTCCTGCCTGTAGAATTTTGGGGGTTAGAAAGACTTCTTTCATTTTATCCTCTCTCTCTTTCAGTTTAAGCTAGCAATATTCCTCCTGGCATAAAAATTCTCAAGAATTTTTGGAGTTTTCTATGTATGTCATGGGGATTCACTCCAGTAGACAACAATCTTTTCCACAGGTCTTTTCTGAATGATCCCATTTGACTGAGGGAATCCATGAGTCACACATATTCTTTTCAAGGAGGCTTTGTGTGACTAAGTACTTAGCTTTTTAATCTTTCTGAGGTATTATATAAAGGTTGCCTGGCCATATTCTTGATTTTTTTTTCCTCTATAACTTTCATTTACAATGGCAAATCTCTTAATTATAGGGTCTTTTGAAATTTTGGTAGATTGAGAATTTTTTAAATCATCAAGGCCTAGTTTCTTTGTGTTTAACACATCTTTTCTCAACTTGGCTCTTTGTTCTTGCCTTTTACAATAAGTAGCAAAAGCAAACTAGGTCACAATTTCAATACTTTCCTTGGAAATTTCCTTAGCTAAGTGTCTAATTTCATTATTTTTAAGGTCTGCTTTCCACGTCAATTCAGGACACAATTCTGCTAAGATTTCTGTTACTATATAATGAGAATCTCCTTTTTTCTGGTTTTTAATAAGATATCCCTCATTTTCTCTTGAGCCTTCACCAGGAGTACCTATAATATACATATATTTATTACAAGTCTGTTCATAACAATTTAGATATTCTCTAAGGTGATTTAGCTTTTCTCTTCCATGCTCCTCATTTTCTTCTGAGTAATCGATCAACAGAGTTGATCTGTATGTCTTCTAATAGTATGCTTAAGACAATTTAGGGAGTGTTTAAAAATTATGTCACTCAAAATTATTCCAGCATGTTCTCATTGCCCAATTTCAAAGCTACTTTGCATTTTATGTATTTGTTATAGTAGTAACTCACTTCTAGTTACCCAACTCCATGTCAACCAAGGCTCAACCAGAGAAGCAGAAACCATGTAACATGTAAAAAGAGACTTATCATAAGGAATTGGGTTATGTAATTTTGGGGGCTGGATAGGCAGGTCTGAAATCCATAAAGACAGGCCATCAGGTAGGAGAGGCTAGAGCTCTTGGACATCAGGTGGAGCTGCTGTTCACAGGTGGAATTTCTTCTTCTTGAGAGAAGCTTTGGTGATGATTCTGAGCTTTGAATTAATTGAATCAAGCCACCAATATTATCTAAGATCATCTTAAAGTTAACTGACTATAGCCTTTAATCACACCTACAAAATGCCTTAACAGCAACATATAGATTAATGGTTTATTAAATAACTGTGGACTATAACCTTGCCAAGTGGACGTATTGAACAGATCATGGCAGTATGTTAAGTATCAATGTGATGTTTCTTTTTTAAATCTTTGTTCAGGCACTTACTGAGACACCAAGGGGTTCAATGAAAACTTCCAAAGAAGTTTCAAAAGAAATCAGATTACATGAAAAGTTCATAGAGCAAGAAACTATACTCATCTTTTTTGGAATAATAATTTTTAGTTTCTCTTTTAAAATTTTGTTAAAAGTAGTTTGTGGTTCAAACAGAATTTCTACATAGTTTCTAGTAATTGAACAAAATTGAAACTGTTCAACCTTATTAATGAAACTTAAGTGGAAAGAAAACAAAAATGACAGAAAAAAAAGTACAAAGGAAAAGACACCCATAGAAAACTATACATTGGCAAGGTAATCGAAGTTCAATGTTCACCATTTTGTTGAGCATGGCAACTGAGTACAGAGTTTGGCTGCCACATTAGAGCTTGGTATGATATGGGATAAATCAAGCAAACCCTATGTACAGTGATTAAAATGAGATCCATTTACTGGTATATGTTTCCTGGCTTCTGACACTGCCAGGATAATTGCCACTGCCAAGGCTGTATGTTCAATAAACTCAATCAGCCAATCCAAAAAGTCACGTGATGCTGTTGCATGGTGCCAAGCAAAGGCGAGAGTTGCTGGGGAGCCTTGGAGGGGGGAAAGCTCATACAAATGAGCTTTTTGGCAGGATATAATCCCCTTTGGAGGGACCCCTACCTTTCACAGAGCATACTGCATTTTGCTAGGAACAAGTCCTAACTGTGTTCCTTTAGAGAAATCCCAGTAAGCTTTCCCATCACAGATAATATTAGCTCTCATGGTGGCAAAAGCTACTGATGAGTGCCTGCTATCTTTAAGATTAGTTTGCAAAATGATCACTTATTCTTATAGCATCTTTTGTTGCTATTTCTCTCTTCAAATGAAAACTTTCTAAATTCTCTAGGATTTTGCCTATCATGTTTCCATACTTTTTCTCCTATTTCCAAGTTAGAATGTATAAACAGTGTGAGAAAAGATAGCATGTAATAAAATGAGTATGTAATACAAAAATGGAGAGAAAAATATTTTATTTATAGTTGAATTTAAGTTTATTCTAGGACACATACTTATTTTTGCTTTTTACATGTAAATCGTTTGTTTTCATGATTTTAATTCAAGGCTCTCAGGGGGCACATTGTTCATCTTATACCTTTTTATAAACTGAATAAGAGAGCCTCCTATTTCTTATTCTAGCTTTTTCAGAATAGTTGATTCCTTACTATCAAGTATTCATTACTCTACTGCTTTGCTTGTTTTCATGTATTCCTATACTTGGTTTCTTGAGAGCATGAGAATATTGCTTACAGACACTGCTAAATAAATCCTTCATTTATTTAGTTGATAGAAGATAGAGAACAAGAGTTTGGATTTAGCAAAGTCAGCTTTGTAATGACAACGTTGTTTATAGCTTAGTTATGGAATATGTTGCACCTTGATTTCTTTGTATAATATTTATAAATGGTTATGTTTTAATTTAATTTTCTTGCTAAAATATTTTCTTTGAATTTATGAAAAGAAATGGAAAGGCCAATGTCCACAAACACCAATATCTCCAAAATAATAATTTTTAGATTTTTTTTCATCTAAAGAATTAATGTTTAAATTTTCAAGCCCACATAAACATAAATTACAAGTTATATAATGGTTCTTTCATGACATGGGAGTAAAAATGTGATCCACAGCTTTCTGTCTCTCTCTCTCTCTGTGTTTATGTGTGTATGTGTTTGCTTAATTTTTCTTTTATATTGTTGTTTTTTGGAGAAATTGTGTTTCACCAAGTGAAAATTAGACCAAAAATCTATAATTACTAGAATTTTTAAATGAAAAAAAAATCCATCTCTAAAATTAATACTTCTTAATATCTCACAGTATTACAAGGAAGAAAGGATAAAAATTTACAGACTGCTTAATTCTAACAGATTTTTTTAGAAAAATAAAATACACTGTGTATTTATTTGCTGTTTAATAGTAGCTTTTCTTCTTTATTACCATCAAAACTTACAAAAAGAAGGCAAGCGTTTTGAGAATCTATGAAAGCCTTTTAAAGAAAGGATTTTCTGTAACCAATAACTTGGATGCACCTCGTCTATTTCCACTGTTATCCTCAGTACAAACTTCCAACATGGGTCACCTAGACGCCTAGACCTCACCAGAGCCTCTTAATTACCCTCATCTTCCATACTGGGCTCTGTTTGTAATCTATTCTGCACATTCAGTGAGAGAGATGAGTTAGGTAATACCATACGTGAGCATATAATCCATCAATAGCTTCATCACATTCTGAATTTCAGGCCTAAAAGCGCTGAATAACTTATCTGTAACCTTTCTCTCTCCCCTTTAAATCCCATGCCAGGCTTTCCTGTGCTCTGTGCACTCACTGGCTGCCTGTCTATCTTTAGGTCATACTAAGCATGGAGCTGCCCCAGGGTTTTCTCATTGATATGATTTGGCTGTGTCCCCACTCAAATCTCATCTTGAATTCTCCTGTGTTGTGGGAGGGAGGCAGGGAAAGTAATTGAATCATGGAGGCAGGTCTTTCCCATGCTGTTCTCATGATACTGAATAAGTCCCATGAGATCTGATGCTTTTAAAAATAGGACTTCCCCTTCACAAACTCTCTCTCTTTGCCTTCTTCCATCCATGTAAGATGTAATTTGCTCCTTCTTGCCTTCCGCTATGTTTGTGAGGCCTCCCCAGCCATGTGGAATTGCAAGTCTATTAAACCTCTTTTTCTTCCTAGTCTAGAGTATGTCTTTATCAGTAGTGTGAAAATGGAATGATACACTCAGATTTCCTCTCTGACCCCATCTTGGCCAGATCAGCCCATAACTACCTCCTCTCGTCATTTAGGCAACAGCTCATTTTTGCATTCCAGGGAGGCTTTTTTTTTTTTTTTCTTTAGTAAACACTTAGGGCTCTTTATTCAGGCAGTAAAGTAAGGAACAGCAAAGTGGTAGGGCTACACCATCACCATAGCAACAGAAAGCCTCAAAAACATAAAGTCCCTCAACTTCTGTCTGGTAGACTCTTTGTAGCTCAGGAGAAACACATTTTAACTGGCTGAGAACAAGGCCAGGCAGCCTGGCCACACTGTGGAAGGACAGCTGGGTGCACAGCCTCTGGTCAGTCCTGGAAGTGCTTAGTGAAGGCTTCCAGCAGCTCCTGCTTCTTCAGCCCCCTGTTCAGCCCGTACGCCTGGCAAGCCTATTTCAGCATGGGCACAGTGAACTTGCCCAGTGTGCCTTTGCTGATGTGGGTCTTCAGCCCCTCTCCTGAATACTCCAGCTTGGGACTTTTGCTTCCAGAACCTTCATTATCATGTTTTCTGTTGGTAACTTTCCCTTCAGGATTGTAATCTGGTGGGTAAGCAAGCTCCTCAAATTCATCCACCAGGGAACCCAGTTTTTTATTCATTGCTTCAACCTTGGGCAATGTCAGGTCCACTGCTTGTTCAGGCTCCATCAAATCGAAGACCAAGGACTCCAGGTTCCTGAAGTGCTGCTGTAGTGTGGGGTTCTCAAAGCTGTCACTTTTGTATGTGAAGCAGAACTTCTTAATGACAGCCTTCATCTTGCCCACCTGCTCTGGAGTTGCCATGATTTTTTCAGTAAAGGGCACCTTCCTTTTATCATCAGCAAATGGTAAAAAGACCAGCTGAAAGCCTGGAGGAGTGACCTGAATTTTCTGGTCATCCAACTTCTTGTCCTGTGGCACCAAAGCCACAAAATAAGAGGGGACGTTCCTCCGGGGTGTCCAGGGAGGCTTTTCTATTGCTTTAGTCTGAGAAGTGCCTTCGTCTCCTCTCAACTCAGATACTCTCTATGCTGAATAGCATCACCAGTTTTGTTACCTTTAGCATTCCTATCACAAAATATTTATTTATCCATTTACTTATCTTCTGTATATCCCCATAAAGAACACAAGCTCCATAAGCCTACATTCTCATACCTCTATACTCATACTTGTCACATAGCAGGTGCATAATAAATGGAACCTGAGGTTAGTGTGACGCCAAGGGACTGGGGCAGAGAAATTACATTAAGATTCTGTATATCATGATTATGGCTGCAATTGTGATAATGGTTACTATTTCAAGTTAGTAATGATAAAGCTTATTCTGTAGATTACTTTAAAAACCTATAACGCACAATGTTTGTAATTATGTGTGTCTGTGATAAAATAAAAAGAACTAGAAATGGAAGTAGCTAATAAATGACCTTACCTTATAATGTCTTTTTGTAGTCCCCTTAGCAATAATGGAGCCTAGTGGAGTAAAAAGAGAGCAGATGAGTCCCTGTTGAATAAAGATCTGGACCGATGGTTCCCCTGGTGCATGGAGCAGAGTGGGAGAGGGACTTCTCTCAAGGCTCACGGACTGCCTGGAGATTAGTTTACTTCATGTACATTTTGCTGGAATGTGACAGCTAATTCACTTTTTTAAAAAACTACAATTCTGGCACAGGTCTTATACTTTGTTCCTAAATTTCTTATTTTTACTCTTGTTGCACGTTGATTTTTCAATTCACTGAAATAAATAGCAGTTATTAAAAAAAATTTTTTTAAATGCATTTTATGACAAATGGTTATGTACAGGCCTCTGGCTCCTTCATCTAAGTCTGGGGAGAGGAGACTATGGTAATATTGTATTAGAAATATTACAGAAGCACCTGTTTTTCATGAAATTCTGGAGTAATAGAAGAACTTGTTCTTCATGAAATTCTGAAGTGCAGAAGCCTAATAATGGTCCTCTTCTAATAGGCAACTAAAGTAAGAGTTCATAGTAGATGTTTCCTCTATGTCCCAGATTACTATAAGTATTCTTCATGGGAATTCACATTATTAAATGCATCTTGGAAAATCTGTTACCAGCAGGAGAGCTGGGGAATATGGTTTATTTGCAAATCACATAATGTCTCAATAAAAATGTTTTGGTAGTCTATCTGATAGAAAAGTTTAATTTATAGTTGAATCTGGAAGAAAGAACCCAAGTCTTTTTATTACACTATCTTTACCCTTAGGTTAGGTAGATAATGTTATGTGTATTATTTTATTTATTTAGTTTTAATCTATTTTAGGTTCTTTAGAATAAGTACATAATTATGCAGTTCATCACCCTTAAAATCTCTTGTCTCACACTCTTCATGATTTTTCCTCTAATATATCTGATAACATATACCTGCTATGTAGTATAGATTATCTGGTAAACATCTTGCAGATGCCTCATCTGGTGGCATACATGGTAAGGAAGGTGACCAGTACCTTCTAAATAAATTTAGAGAGGGGAATCCTTCCAAAACACTCTTCATTTTCAAAAAACTCTATTTCATAGCTATTTAAACTTTAATCACTCAGGTTGTTCTGAAAGTAAGACCAGACACATTTCAATTATAGGCTCCTTGGGGAAGATGACTTTATCACTTTATTATATTGTATAGCCACAGCTTTTATATACTTAATAAATATTAAACATTATTTTTAATCAGTTGAGCAATGAGGACTCCATCTTATTGTCTTTTTAAAGATTTTTCTATTTAAGCACTTAAAAAAGTAGAAAGTCACTGCCTAAAATCAGGAGTCTCCTAACTCATTAACTAGTTAAATGTTCAAAAAGGTTACTCTATCAAACTGAGTATATTTAAAATGGGCATTGTTATGAATATAATTTTGGTTTCAAAAGGCTGTTGTCTTTTATTCTTCTCATACTCAATCCCTTTGTGTGTGTGTGTGTGTAGCTCCCACCGATTTCAAAGATTCTAGAAGAGGAAGAGGAGATAAGTATGATTCTAAACTAACCCACTATTCTGGGACTAAAAAAACCCCATATATACGGACAAATACAAGAAATATAATGGCCTTTATTTTATAGGTTGCTTTCTTCCCCTCATTCTGTTTTACTGGTTTTATTTGAATGAACAAATGCAACATTTACCTCTTAGTTTCATCTGATTCTGGCAAAGTTGTGAGATTATCAGAGTGTTTCATTGTAAGAGATCACTAAAGAAAAAAATCATTTTCTGAAAGAAAATTATTTTGGAGCTACTCACTTATAAAAGCTCATTTATTTTAATTTAAATTGATGGTTTCTGAAAAAAAAAAAAGGAAAGCAGTTTTCTTCTTCATTTACAAATACTTTCCATCACTTAGTACTTCTCTAGCTTCATGATTGTGATTATTACTTAAATTATAAATGCTTAGTTTATTTATAGTTATGTTCTCAAGCTCTCATAATTTTACTAAAATCTGTAATGGAATGGTTTTAAGATCAGTATGACTAAACCTAATGGTTCATTAAGTAATTCCCTTAAATATAATCTAAAAGAAAACAGTTTACAGGTCACCCACTTTGTGAATCTTCTCAGGCCTCTCCACTCTGCTATACATATGCACAGATGATTACTTTCTCTCTAGTGATTGATGAACACACCGATTGTAGCACTCATTATACTGCTTATAGTGATTCATTTTACTGTCTGTCTTCTGCAGAAATCTGAGTACTTAATGGTGGGGATCTTGTTCTCCTCATATTTATATCTACACATCTGGGCAATGCCTAGTATATACTAGACAACAAGTAAATGTTTGTTAAAACAGATGTTTTGTTTTCTTTATTTTTGCTTTTTCTGAATATAAAATAATAAATCTTATTGTAGAATATGTGATAGACAACTACAAATATAAAGAACGTTGATTGCTCTCTATTATCTTGAAACAGCCATTGCTAACATTATTGTCTTAATTTTTCTAATTGAATTTAACTTGTGGTTTAAGATGAATAAACAAGATCTGCAACTCAAGACTTCCTTTTTCCTGTCCTTGTTGTTTATTTCACTTGTGGTTGATTATATATTTTTTTAAGTTTTTCTCATCTGCAGTTATTTAGGGTTGATTTTGTCTGTCTTCATTCATTCATTAATTTGTTTTCATATAATAAGTATTCATTGATCTCCTGCTATGTTTTAGATACAATGCCAGATCTTGGAAACATAATATTGAGCAAACACATGTTATCTCTTCTTTCTTGGAACTTATAGTTAGGAGAACAAATTATAACAGAGAGTATTTACAAAAGGGAAGACTTAGAGCTCAATTTTTAAAATGTGAGTTCTTTTCTAGGGGGATGAGAAAAAGAAAACATGGACAGTCTGCAGGGTTCAATGTCTGTGTGGCATTCAGGAGTTTTTTTGTGTTTGAACATCTGCCGCTGTGTGTGTATGTACTTATTCTGATGATGTTGTGGAAGTACTTGAAACTTTCTAGCTGTCCTAAATCCTTCCAGCCATAAATCTAGGTACTCTGCCTCCACAATATTGGATAATTATTTGATTTTCTTTCTGATTTATTATTGATTCATTTAAAAATCTAGTATCAGAATACCTTTTTTTAAGAAGAACTCATGGATTTTCAAGGGTTTGCAACATTGAATTTCACTTTTCAATTTTACTACTTATGTACAGAAATTATATTTGTACTCCACGTATTTTTTTAAAAGTTAAGAACAAATACACCAAGTCAATCTCAGAAAATCAGATATATGTCTGAAGCTATGAGTTGCTTTTCTAACGTTCTCTTCACATTGAAATTGATTAAAGAAGAATTTATCATTTGATTTTTGTATTCCTTAAAAAAATTTTCTAGTTGCCTCTGCTATATTTTAAGTGACATTTATTCAGTAATATTAAAGATTCAATGATAAAGAGGAAAGAGAAGTGAGAAAGGAAGGGCACAAATGGAAGCAGTTCATATGGATTTCCAAATATGATTCATCATCCTTGATTATACCTGTGTTACTTCATAATTTAAACAGATAAATAATTCTAGATAATGTTGGAATTTCTAATAATGCAAATTAGAAATATCATGTACTTTATTTAGTTCTACTCACCTAGTCAATGAGAAGAGGAAAAGTACATAATTAATATTAATAAATTAAAAGATATATTTTAATTAAATCTGAGAAAGAAAATAAATTTTAAATAGCTTTAAATATTCTAAATGACATATGGTAAAGCAAATATCAGTAAAAGAAACTCAAAAGCAACTTGTTGCTTTTGCTGTTTAAGTGTTTTCTTGTAGGAAATGTAGTGCCTTAACAACTTTGGGGGTTATTTTCTATGTTGTTTTAGAAAACTTCAAAAATTATTTGTAGACAAAAAGTAGCATCTATATATTTTGGTTGTATAAAGGTAAGGAGGACCTCATTGTAAATTGTTCATTTTCAGTTTATAACTCCCAACTTTAAAATAAGCTTTGTACTTAATATCTATAGGCTTATATTTTCTTGTTGTTATTTAGCATTTATTTTCTATCATTAGTAGAAACAACACTTGAGAGAGACAGGTAAAATCTTGAAAATATTTTAAGTAACCATCAACAAAATTGAAATTGCCTTCATTTTTACTTGTGATTAATTTCTTTTTTTTTACTTTTCTAAGCAAAATTTTTGAAATATACAGGAAAGTTCACAAGTTATGTCATTTTTCACAAATAAAATTAACACAATCATGAAACCATTATTCATATAGAGGCAGTCCTAGAAAGTGCCTCATGCTCCTTCTAGACCTTAATTTCCTAACAAATGTAATCATTTTTTGGCATCCATTACCATATATTAACTTTGTATGCTTTTGAAATTTATATAAATGAAATCAAACAGTAAGTTCACTATGCTATCTGGCTGTTTTTACACAATATTTTGTTTGTGAGGATTATCCATGCTGCTGACTATAATGGTAACTCATGTTTTTTGCTAGAGAGCAGCAGTCAGAAAAATTTTCCTATAACAAGTAAATAATGATAAATATTTATGTTTTGGGAACTTTATGGTCTCCATCACAACTCCCTAACACTGCCCTTGTGGCATGTTATAATATGAGAGCAACTGTAGATAATATGTAAGTTAATAAACAAGTCTGTTTTCTAATAAAACTTTATTTACAACAGCAGGTGGTGGGCCAGATCCAAACCATGCTGTGCAGTATTCTGTTGTGAGAATAAATCACAGTTCATTTATCCAGTCTTCCATTGGCATTGTTTCCAGTTTGGCTAATAATGCTAAAAACTTTCTAGTTCCTATCTTTTGATGTACATATACATATGTGTTTGAATTATGTAATTGCTGGGACAGAGAGGGTTTAGATTCAGAATTGCTAGATACTATCAAACAGCTTTCTTAATTTACATCCACCAGCTATGTATGAGAGTTCTGTTTGCTCCACTTCTCCACCAACACTTGGTATTGTCAGTTTTTAATGTGGTATAGTGATGATTTACTTTTTAAACAGAGATGATACTGGTAGTTAAATAACTAAATCTACAGCAAGAAATATATCTTCATGGAAGACATTACTATATATATTTAAATTTATGTTTTAACATTAAATTTTAGTGAATCTGTGTCCCTCACACATCTCTAGTTTGGTATACAAACACACACACACACACACACACACACACACACACACACCACAACGCCCGCTTCCCTAAACCTGAAACAAAAACTGCGTTTGCTAGTCTTGAAAGAACACTGTGATTTTCTATTGTGCTTTAGGGAAAAAAAATCATGTATTTGTATGCTTAGAGAAACAGAGAGAAAAAGTGTAGCATCCTATTATCTTTAAGAGGATAATTTCAAAGCCTCAGAAACTGTCTCTAGCCAGTGCTTTCAAAGTAAGCACAAAGTGCAGTGGGATGTGCAGAAAACAGTCATTAATCAGGCACACTGTGAGTTAAGTCTTCACTTCTAGGAATCATTTCTAATCATTTGTAATTAGAAAAATGCTTCTGAAAATGTTTGCCTTGCTAACTATGAAGAGTTGAAACTCTCTCTTTTGGGAAAGTGAGCAGATGGTGTCACTTCATTTACTTTTTCCTGTGTTGCAGGGGGGACTAAGAGATTTAACTGTCCTTTCCACGTCTCCTGCCTAGGGTTTGGATACTTGTCTAGTCTTTGGTCATAGCTTTTGGCTCAGCTATTTATTGTCCAGTTCCCTTTGTTTGATATTACTTTGATCCTCGCCCAATATCAGCAATGCTTTGCTTGGATGACTCTCTCACTCTAGCCCTTACTCTTTTTCTTGGCAGAAGTATTCTTTTCTTTTGGTTGTAAGAATCTGGCCAGTAATGAGGTGGTAAGCTCCTGTCGAAGCAGCAGGAGTTGTCAGTGCTCCTTTCTTTCATTAACTTTCTTGGGCTGTAGCCACAGCAGCGAGACTTCAGGGACTGAGAATTTAACCTTCTCCAGCACCGATCATTTTTCCACATGGATTCACATGGCCCCAGAGCTCCTTGGCCCTTTTCACCAGCCCCCTCTCTTCACACTGCTTTTTATAGTTTATCCTGAACTTTCTGTCCAATGCTCTCCAGGGCCACATGAAATAATATGCTTGAAGCCTTTTTTTTTTTTTTTAAGTTAACTACCTTGTATTCATTGTTGTTAAATGAAGAACACTTTCATACAGCTTTCACAAAAGTTTTGAAACTTCAGTTAACAGCTGTGGCAAATTATCTTTTTCCTTAAGGAAGTAATTGGTAACCATACTTCTGTAGCATAATATCATTTATTTTAATCCTAGTAGAATAAAATATGTATATTATTCTACCTAAAGTAATGACTATATGTGTGTACATAATATATAATTAGAAAATGTACATCTCTTGAAGTAGTAATTTTTCAGTTAAATATTTATATCATCATTTATCATTCATTCTGAAAGAAAAAATGTATTGATGAACTGACTGAGAACTTTGACCTGTGGAGCTTAAAGTGATAATAATCGTAATCCAAAAATAATATTAATAATGATAATTAGTCTATCATGTTTTAGATACCTTCTAGATACAATGCCAGACATCATGTGTTGTATGTGGGTGTGTAAAATTTCTAATTGTCACATGAAACTTGTAAGATAATTATGATCATGACCATTTTACATACAAGGAAAATGAAGCATTGACAGCTTTCTCCCCCAAAGTTAGAATTACACTGGATAGTTCTCTTTCTGCAATTCCTATACCTCTTATCCTTGGTCAACTTCCTGTTCTCTCAGATTTGACTGTCATATATATTATCAATATGTTTGTCATTCCTAGTATATTGAATGTTCATTTGTAGAAGCATGTACAATGTGCAGACGGGCATAACCTATTCTTGAACTTATCATCATGAGCCATACAATGTTAAAGACTAGAATCACTTGTTATTTCAAGTTTATTTTGAAATGATTTCTACCTGTTAATGGAATATCCACCTTTACTGGTGCTTTTGGTTATAAACTATATATATATATATATATACACACATATATATATGTATATATACACACATATATATATGTGTGTATATATACACATATTTAGACTGATACATTTATTTATAATTAATTATGGATTATACTTTTGTGTTATGAGATTAGAGGATAAAGAACCAAATGCAACTGTGCTATTGAGAAGTTTTAACACATGTTACACATATTATTTCCATTAATTTCCATTTTGCCATTAGAGAATGAGATGGTTTTTCATTCCTTGGATCTGTATTGACACCAAATTAATATCAATTGCAGGAAAATGTCCACACTGGCTAATACTTTCTTAATATGTGCCATCATGTGCTTTATTATAGTTTCTCATTTACTGATCTGCGAGCTACTCTAATGTTCCTTCATTTTCATTTGATATATTCAACTCACTTATTCTTATATTTGCAGATGGATATATTTCTATCATTATTTCCAGTAACAGCCATGGGCTTTTAGTTACCCCAGGAAAATTAAAAAGCAACTTCCTCAACAGAGTGCCTTTTATCTCTTATTATTTGGCAGCACAGGCAAAATGCCAATCTAAGTCAATTCAGTCTCATCAGGTATTCTACAATTGGCAATAGAGTAACACTTAGGGGCTGTGGCAATTCCCTTCCAGACTAGGAAATGAGTTCTGAAAAAGATGTACAGGAAGAGTCAGATTATGAAGACATAACATTTTAAAGACAAAGATAGAAGGTGGTCATCAAAATACTTTTCTTAACTTATATAGAGACGTTGTTTGTAAGGAGTTATAAGGTGCAAAAATATTTCATTCGTTTTAGTTCAATGAAGTATCAATTAAAGGTAGAAGAAATAATACATTGTATTTCTATGTTCTTAAAATTACATAAACATTTTCAAATTTATAAATCAATGCTATTGCCAAAATTGTAATATTTTAGAAAATAGACTTTGTTAGAGCAGTTTTATATTCAAAGCAAAATTTAGAAGAAAATACAGAGATTTTCCATATGCTAATTGTCCATACATATACATAACCTCCACATTATCAATATCTCCCACCAGAGTAGTACATTTGTTATAACTGGTGAGCCTACATTGACACATCATTATCATTCACTCTTGGCAGTGTACAGAGGTATAATGACATGTATTTACCATTTATCAGTACAGTATCATAGAGAGTAGTTTCAGTGACCTAAAATCCCCTATGTTTCACCTAGTCTTCCCTCCTTTACCTCCCCACTCAGCAACAATTGATCATTTTTAGGGTCTCCAAAGTTTTGCCTTTTCCATAATGTCAGATAGTTGGAATCACAGAGTACATAGCCTTTTCAGATTTACTTTCTTCACTTAGTAATATGCATTTAAGTTTCCTTCATGTCTTTTTTGGGGGGGTTTCATTGAGCTTCGAATAGATGTTTGATTCTTTCAGAGGTAATAAATTATAAAGTAAACTTATTTCTTCTTTTGTAAATTGCTTTTTATGTCCTTGCCTGTTTTTCTTATTTAATTATTATTTTTAAAAATCGACACATTATAATTGTGCCTATTTATGGAGTACAATTTGATGTTTCAGAATGCATGTGTGTTGTGTAATGATTAAATCAGGATATTTAGTATATCTGTCACCACATGCATTTATCATTTCTCTGTGGTAAGAACATTCAAGTCAGTTATCCCAGCACAAAGTCATAAAGCATTTCTCCTATGTTTTATTCTATTAGTTTCACAGTCTCGGGTTTTACATTTTAGTCTAATTCATTTTGAGTTGATTTTTGAATATGATGACAGGAAGGGGTCTAGTCTCACTCTTCTGCATGTGGGTATCCAATTTTTCCAGTACCATTTTCTAAAGAGAGTATCTTTGTGCCAGTGTGTCCTTGCCATGTTCTTGCCATGTTTGTAAAAAATTAGGTGGCTGGAGGTGTATGAATCCATATCTGGGATCTCATTCTACTTATTTGGTTTATGTATCTGCTTTTATGCCAGTACCATGCTATTTTAGTTATTACGGATTTGTAGTATATTTTAAAGTAAGTAGTGTGATACCTCCTACTTTGTTCTTTCTTTTCGGGATTGCTTTGGCTATTCTGACTCCCTTGTGATTCCATATGCTAATATGAATCATTTGAAAAAGATTTTTTTTTAAAATTCCATTTACATAGCTACAAAAAAGTAAGATGCCTTACTTTAAGCAAGGACATGAAAGATCTACACTGAAACTATGAAACATTGATGAAAAAATTGAAGAGAACACAAATAAATGGAAAGATATACTGCATTCATAGATTGGATTAATTAATATTGCTAAAATTGCCATACCACCCAAAGAGATCCACAGATTTAATGTATTTATCAAAATACAAAGACATTTTTTACCGAAATGGGAAAAAATAATTCTCCATGTCTTTTAATGGCTTGATACTTTATTTATTTTTAGTGCAAAACTTTAACTTATTAGTGGTTAATCCTTTAATTCATGTCCCCTGAGTAATCTGATAGGTTTCAAGCACTTGAGCTAAAGAAATTAAAACAGCTAAGCAAAGTGTGAAAAGCCTTGGAATGATAGCAAAAGAGTTTGGTTGTAGTTCCTGATCTCACACTTTGCTCTTATCCCCTGGTGACTTTGAACATCTTACCTGTATGTTTCTTCCTTTACTGTAAAATAATGGACTATGAGAAAATTATCTATTATATTCTTTCAACTCTAGATATTTATGATTATTATCTGTATCAAGATGGGCTATGGGGCTAGGTGTGGTGGCTCACTCCTGTAATTCCAGCACTTTGGGAGGCCGAGGCTGGTGGGATTGCCTGAAGTCAGGAGTTTGAGACTAGTCTGGCTAACATGGTGAAACCTCATCTCTGCTGAAAATATAAAAAAATTAGCCAGCCATGGTGGTGGCATGTGCCTGTAGTCCCAGCTACTTCGGAGGCTGAGGCAGGGGAATTGCTTGAACCAGGGAGGTGGAGTTTGCAGAGATCCAAGATCACACCACTGTACTCCAGCCTGGCGAAAGAGCAAGACTCCGTCTCAAACAAACAAACAAACAAACAAAAACAAAACAACAACAAAAAAAGATGGGCTATGGTCTTGTATATAATAATTTACTAAAAGTACTTGAGTAAATCATGCATATATTATTAATCATGTGAGGGGGCAGGATCTGGGGAAAATTACCTAAATTATTTAAAACAATGGCTATACATTCATCATTATTAAAGCAGATTGAAGATAACCAGCATTTTGAACATGACACTTTCCAGTTAAAATCCTTTCAGTAGTTCCTTATTGCCCTTATAATAAAGATCAGACTCTTTAATCCAGCCTGCAAGTCTCCCTCACTACTACCACCATTTAGCCCCTGTGTTAGCTGAGATAGGACAAATGTGTAATGGCTTAAACACAATGGATGTGTACTTCTTGTTTCGATATTAGCGGATTGGATGTTCCTGTTGGCAGGCCTTCTGACAGTGCCTCAGGAAGAGATTCTTCCCATCTTGTGAGTCTGCCATCTGCAGGTACATTCTGGTACTCAACTGACAAATCTGAAAGGGAGGGTGGACTTGGCTCAGAAGTTACACATATCATTTTTGCTCACATTTTATTGATGGGAAATAATCACATGCCACACCTACATACATAATTGAAAGAGAAGCTTGGAAATAGTGTTGATCAATGTCCAGGAAGAAGACAAAATGAATTGTAGCACAGAGCTGGTAGGCTCTGCCACAGTTTTATCTCTGTCTTTAAGCCTCACTTAATTTCTTTCTGTATCTGGAATGCCCACACCCTCCTCACCCAGAAGCCCCTCCCTCTTCATCAGACTCAGACTCACCTTTCAGATCTCAGTTGGTGGTGACTTCCTCTCTACTACCAGGACACGTTGTTTCTACCCTATTTTTTACCCTATCATAATCTTTTACCCAAACCTCACTGCAGTTTATTTTCATTATTTATGTTTACTCTATGAGATTTTAAGCTCCTGAAAGGTA